CTGTAATGGAAACGCGCCTAGTGATGACATGAAAGTAGTACAACACAGATCAATAATATTGTTAAATATTAAATATCCCCAACTAAGCAAGCCAAAAGCAAGGCGACAGTGGCAAGGAACCAAAACTCCATCAGATTTGGATGGAGAAAAAAAACCTTGGGAAACCCAGGCTCAGTCGGGGGCCAGTTCTCCTCTGGCTTACATTCATATTGTTTATATATAAATATTAAATATAAATATTGTTTATATATAAAACGGCGCCATAACATATCGCCGCGTTGAGTCTTCTCTTCACAGGCGTTGGTCTTCTCATCACAGGCGTTGGGGCATCTGAAATCCCGTGAGAGGCTGGATACAAAACTGGACCTGACGAACGCCATTGATAACAGCAGAAGGGAGATGGGAAATAATTAGCTTAACTGATGTTTATAATGATTTCCATTAAATGGAGTCGTGTTAGAAAACCACTATCTCACAAACTCTCCACAACCCAACCATACGCGCCGACCCGTTTGTCTAAAAGGCTGTCGAGCCCCACTGGTGCGTTAAGCAGTTTCAGTGGCAAACGGTATATGGCATAACATACATTTAAGAGCGTAACATTTAGCACAAGTACTTTAAATGAATTAAACCTGTGACCTATTTTCTGAGTAATATTAAAATATCTTATAGATTGTTGCAACACCGCCGCCACGACCGGGTCAGACGAGGCTCGTGTTTATAATAGTATCCTGGCGGAGTAGATTCATTTAGACCGAAATATTGGTTTAAGCAGGTTTCAGTAAGGCACAGAACATCGAAATTATTATTCTGTGACCATTTCATTTACAATAACCGCCTTAGGTTTGAGCGATCTAAGTTTAGAAGACCTAGCTTTAGAAATTGTTTTTGTTCACTGATATTTAGATTTTCTGTATTAATTACAATAAGATTTTTGCTAGATCCTGCACTAGATTTATAGTTTGGCTTCACTAAACGAGGAATAGACACAGTTTCTATATAATTTTCCACACTATGCATATTAGTTAAGTTTGGACAACAAAGGCTGTGATTTGGACTTTGACTTACTAGTCATCTGGTGCGTAACGTCTTGGAGATGTTGTCCGACAGAACAGCCGCTCCGATTCTGCTGGGGTGGAGTCCATCTGCACGATACAGCATGGGTCTCTCCCAAAACAGATGCCAATTATTTACAAAGAGCAGTTTCTGTTCATTACACAATAACATTAACCATTCATTTAATGCAAATAGTCTACAGAACCTTTCCTGTCCTTGTCGGTACGTGGGAAGCGGTCCAGACACGATGATCGTTGCTGTAGGCGCTTGTGCTGCGTACCATCTCGATCAGGCTCCTGTAGTCCTTCTTCAGAAACTCCGTCTGCCGCAGCCTAATGTCGTTGGCTCCCGCGTGCAGCACAACAGCTTCGACGCGCTCGTCCCCGCGCTCGCCCCCAAAGTGTGTGCGGTTTAGTTTTCTTAAGTACCGTTAAAGAACCTTTTAGGCACCGGAACCATTTAAAAAATACCGAGTAGGTACTGGTAACGGATAAAACCCAACCGATACCCAACCCTATTCATGACCGTCCAATCACTACAGTATTGGGAACTAGCGACCTGAACAAAAGTCGCAGGCTTTGTAAACGGGGCTTTAGAGCTGCTTTACAGCACAATTGAATTCTGTTTGTATCATTGACTACGTTTACATGCAGCCAATTTTGGGGTTATGGTCGGGTTAAGGTCACTATTCGGGTTTCTGAAACATTAGGATTAACCCGTTTACATGTGTGAGCAGAGAGAGTTTCTCCTGTATACATGGAATTGCAATATCCCGATGTAAACGGTGACGCGCGATTAGCGTCTAGACGTACGGACAACCTTAAGACGCAATATGCGTCATTTCCGATTCTTCTTCCTGTATCCAATGACAACAACAGCAGCACGCGGATAATGAATAGTTCGGGGCAGATAGCGATCGCCTTTGCTTGCGCTTTGATGCTGGTAACATTACTGACCTCGCTCCAAAAGTATGCTGTGCTGTGTCTCGCCATGTTTACTTCTGGTATACGGCACGCAGATTTTTGTATGCGCCGAGAAGTTTCTCTACTCAAATGACCAAGATTCCTTGCGAATAGAACATGCGCAGAACACAAATCACTATGAGGATATGCCGATACGTGTTTACATGACCAAAAATTCGGGTTAGAAAAGGGGTACCCCAGGTATAATATCCCAGTTTTTAAAATCCGGGATATGAGCATATTCGGGTTTTTGCCGGTGTTTACATGGCCGTTCGCGACCGGGTTATTGCTAATATCCTGGTTTTGAACGGGTTATTTTCTGCATGTAAACTTAGGCATTGATCATTATCTTCCTGTTATCAAGGTAAAAAGGCTTTGAAACAATCTGAATTGTATAAAGCGCTATATAAATAAAGGTGACTTGACTTACCAAAGCAAATGTGGCTGTCATGACATGACTTAACTTACCTTTCCAGTCTTCAGTCTCTCATGTTCTTACTCAGATGTGGACAGGCTCTGATCTCTCTGGTGAAGCGGCTCACGTGAGTGGCTTGAGTTTCCTGTCAGGATGATATCCATCCAATCCTGCATTTAAACCAGTGTTCTTTATAGACTGGATGGTGTGTCCAACCCTGGAGAAGAAAACCAAAACAATTATTCGCGCTGACAGTTTATTACATTCCAGTCGTTGGGCTGGACTTCAGTAAGCCAAAAATGTTATATCATATCCAATACAAAGATCATATGAACAACATGGATGTCTCTTTTCTGTTTATTACTGTGAAGCTGCTTTGAAACAATCTCTATTGTATAAAGCTCTATATAAATGAAAGTGACTTGACTTGACTATAACAAGAACATTAAAATGAACTCAATTCACTAAACATATTTGAAAATCTCACTACAAAACAAATCCAGAAATGAAGATAAACGACATCACAAATGTTGTATCCTACTCTGTTACACTTCTTCACACCTGAAGTCTCTGATCGAATGAATCTCCTGAACTTCTCCATTCTACAGTAGATCATTTCTAAACCATCTATGTTGTAAGATCTGCTCTAACGTCGGGCGTTTAGTTGGATCCAGGGTTAGGCACTGGATAATCAGATCCCTGCATTCTGTACACATTTTAATAAGGATAAAGCCGGTTAGTCATGACCATGTGACACTAATGTAGGCATTTATGAAAACAGCATCTCTGAAACATGAAAAATTTAATTAAAAAAACTGTTTTCTTAAAAGATGAAGTGTGTATTTTCTGCTGGACTAGTGGCACCTTGGGAAATTACAAAAAATAAAGCATATTTCAAACAATCTTGCAAACGTCTCTTTCGTGTGCCACGGCTCCCCCAGCTCAAACATCACAAACACAGCTCTTACTGGTCCATGTGAACACATGTTTCAGGTCCAACATATTAGGAATACTTTTAGCTGTGTTGCATGTGTCTTTATGAACGGGTGCATGATGATGCTGTATGGTATTAATAAATGCGGTGAATTTTTCCTACGATCCCACTGTGACTAAACACCCTCAGGCTCCGCCTGCTACAATAGCCACACCCCAAACACTATAGGTTAAGCTGGAAAAAGATTGATGGCTCTCAATGATAAGATGGAGCCTTTTTACACTTTTGGGGAGATAAACCCACAAATGGCATACTAATAGTAATTGATGAACAAAAAAAAAACGTACTTCATACTTCACATACTTCACCTTTAACTGTTTCTTAACTGTACAGAGCCTTTGCTTTGGGTGTTTATCAATGTTATCAATATTATTCACTCACCGTTGGATAAGTTGGCATTCTGAAATCTAACTTTGGCTTTTGTGATTTCCTTTGGATTCTGAAAAGGAGGACATGTGTTCACCATCTCGTACAACAACACTCCTAGAGCCCAAACATTTACTGGGACGGGGTGAAACCAAGGCTCTGTGAGGACTTCAGGTGGGAAGTAAAACTTTACTCCTGTAAGGTAAGCAAGACATTTGTGCATTGTTGAGAAAAAATGTTTTAAGTGTCAAAGAATCAGCAAGTCATTACATCTAGGTTTCCAAACTTCCAAAATGCTCACCAATGTAAACGTCGCTGTCATACCCATCACTATTAAGTATCTGTCCAGAGCCAAAGTCGATCAGCTTGAGCTCTAAAGTGTCTTTCTTCACCAGGAAATTGTCCGCATGAATATCATTGTAAAAGACATTATGCTCAATGCAGTGTTGCACTGCCAGCACAGCTTGTCGCATGATGAGCCGTGCTGTTGATTCGTCCAGTTGAGGATTATCATAGATGAAGTCCAGCAAGCTCTCGCAGGGTTCGGGATACTCCATCACCAGGGTGAATTTTCGAGGGTGTTCAAACCAATCGTGTAGTTGTATGGCGTACGGGCTTACGGGTTCTTCCCTCATCATTAGCAGCACAGCCACTTCTGCAATGAGAGGTTTGGGATGCCCAGGCTTGAGAAAAGACAAAAGGTTAGCTGGGTAAAAATCTGAAGAAAACATCATTTTTCTTTGATTTTGGTAGACAACATCAATAGTGGCTTTGCAGGCTTATTCGTCTACTACATTTACACCTAATGTTTCCTACAGGTGTATTAACTACAGTAATCAACACTTCAACAACTAAATACACATTCAGCTTTTGGCCAACTTACAATAGCGAGATAAAGATCCTCGGAAGTCTTGCGCATCCGCTTGATAGCAACCTGCAAAAATGAAAAAAGAAACAGAATTCAATAAGAGTAACAACATTCAAGCGCCTGACCTTGCACATAACATTTATGATTTGAGCATCTAAGTATAAAACCCTGTGTATTAAATATGTTTTGATGCATGCAAGAGCAAAATGTTTATATAATTCAGCAAAAACCTTTTTGCCATCAAATTTCCGTGTTCCTTTGAACACTCTTCCGTATCCTCCGCATCCAATCATCTCTCCCGCGTTATAGAGAGACTTGAAGGAGTCTGAAAAACAAACAGAAAATAAGAGAAATATATGAGCTTGCTAGATCCTTTGTTTTATATTAAAAATATCAGTGCTGGTCGAAAAAATAATATGAATATTCTGAGAACAAGCCTCAAGATATCTTTAGTGGAAAACAAGACGATAATACGGTTTAAAACAACGTTTGAGAAACAAGGACTGCAGATTTACCATGATTTGGCTCGACACCGGACTGACGTGAATCAGAATCAGGCTCCGAGAGCAGATCTAGTGGAGGAACGAAAGGCTCCACAACATCCACAGCTTTACTGTCAGAACAGCAGCCGGACGGACTCTTTACAGCCGTCCACACGTTCCTGAGGAACGAACGAATTCTTTTCATCTTCTTTCCTTTTGTACGTTTTTCTGGAACAAAGGGGAAAAAATTAAGTATAAAAAAACATTATAAACATCTCTGACCTCACATTTAAAAATGATATAATGATAGAACTTCCATTTAACTGTTCAATTTTATCTTTAATGTCACAAATCCAAAATAATGCAAATATTTCCAAGCTATCCGCCTCACAACGCCATGTTTCTGCTCAATACCTGCACAAATGTCCCTTAGGGGTGACCAAAAGTTTCTTTCACTATATTATGTAAAAATAGTTGTTGTTTTTATATATATATATATATATATCTTTTATTAAAAATAGACCATTCATTTCCAGGCATTATTATTTGGCACAGTTCTGGCAATGGTAAAGGTCATATGAGCCATCATGTCTTAAAATATATTTCACATTTATTTCTTATTAAATATAATAGCCTATATTTAAATCAACATTGATTTATATTAAAGACATAACTTAACCAACTCTGTTTACATGAACACTGGTCACAACAGCCATTTGGACAATTTTGTCAGTATTTGACCATTCAAACGCAATACGTTGTGAAACAGAACTCTGTTTGGGTTTGTGCGTGTGTTTTCGTGTGTGTGTGTTTGTGTGTGTGTGTGTCAGCTGAGTGAGTTCATGGCTTGTTGGCTTAACAAAAATATATTCTAAGAACGTTTTGTCCAACTAAAATATTTCAGAAAAACTTGCTGAGAAACTGTGTGTATTCATCATTCTGCCTTATTTCAATCTCACCTGTCGAGCTGTTGTTCACAGGTGAAGCCTCCACGGCACCATGAGCAGTCGGGACATTAGAAATGTCGGTTGGCTCGATGGAAACTTGACTAGGCGATGGAGGACAGATCCCCTCTTGGAAGCTGTCGGATCTGGACAAACTCCTGTTAAGGCTGTCGGAACTGGACACACTACTGTTGAGGCTGTCGGAACTGGACACACTACTGTTGAGGCTGTCGGAGTGATCTGGATCAGAATCAGGCTCCGAGTCCAGATCTAGTGGAGGAACGAAAGGCTCCACAACATCCACAGCTTTACTGTCAGAACAGCAGCCGGACGGACTCTTTACAGCCGTCCACACGTTCCTGAGGAATGAACGAATTCTTTTCATCTTCTTTCGTTTTGTAGGTTTTTCTGGAACAAAGGGGAAAAAAATAAGTATAAAAAAAACATTATAAACATCTCTGACCTCACATTTAAAAATGATATAATGATAGAACTTCCATTTAACTGTTCAATTTTATCTTTAATGTCACAAATCTAAAATAATGCAAATATTTCCAAGCTATCCGCCTCACAACGCCATGTTTCTGCTCAATACCTGCACAAATGTCCCTTATGGGTGACCAAAAGTTTCTTTCACAATATTATGTAATAATAGTTGTTGTTGTTTTTTTATATATATAATTTTTATTAAAAATAGACCATTCATTTCCAGGCATTATTATTTGGCACAGTTCTGGCAATGGTAAAGGTCATATGAGCCATCATGTCTTAAAATATATTTCACATTTATTTCTTATTAAATATAATAGCCTATATTTAAATCAACATTGATTTATATTAAAGACATAACTTAACCAACTCTGTTTACATGAACACTGGTCACAACAGCCATTTGGACAATTTTGTCAGTATTTGACCATTCAAACGCAATACGTTGTGAAACAGAACTCTTTTTGGGATTGTGCGTGTGTCTTCGTGTGTGTGTGTGTGTCAGCTGAGTGAGTTCATGGCTTGTTGGCTTAACAAAAATATATTCTAAGAACGTTTTGTCCAACTAAAATATTTCGGAAAAAAATTGCTGAGAAACTGTGTGTATTCATCATTCTGCCTTATTTCAATCTCACCTGTCGAGCTGTTGTTCACAGGTGAAGCCTCCACGGCACCATGAGCAGTCGGGACATTAGAAATGTCGGTTGGCTCGACGGGAACTTGACCAGGCAGTGGAGGACACATCCACTGGAAGCTGTCGCATCTGGACAAACTCCTGTTTCCGTCACTGCCTGGTTCATGTTGGCTCTCAGATCTGTTGTTACTGCTCCTGGAAACAACTGTCCTGCATCTGAAGCGGCCTGATGGAATAATTCAGACATTTTTAATAATATTAATAATCAATTGTCAGTGGTCACACACACAAAAAAAATCAACTTTCTATTTTCAATGACAAATCATTTATTCACTTTAATAAAAGCCTATACTAACCTATGCGATAGTGTTTGGATGAAGTGGACGGACGTCCATCATCTGACCTCTGCATCTCTCTCTTCCTGTGAGCCGAACCTGTGGCCACAGAAACGAACTCACAAGACCGAGGTGTTGAACATCCAGGAATAAGCTCCTGACTCTGTGCCTGGGTCGGGCCTGACATCTTCTTCAAACTGCAATTAAATGATACAAGTACCATACAATACAACACAACGCAGAAAATATTCAGCAACTGTCTGAATTCTCCTCGTCTTTCAGTCAACAAAGAGAGCGATCTAACGTTTGACTGTGACGTCAACCGCATTATTCAAAATACCTGAAGTAGTGCGAGTCACGCGTGAGCGCACATCGAATCTGCAAACAAACTGAATCAGGAATACAGGACTGAATGTTATCGTTAAACAACCATTTAACAAGTGATATAATTATGTGTCATTACTACTTAGCTAAAACTAATATGTTAAAGCCTTTTTTACAGTCTATAGTTAAAGCATGAAATAAGGTTGACCACCAGAGGAATAGCAAATACTTAAAGATCACAGTTAAAAGAAAATCGTTAATAACTTGTAATCAGCCTATAAATTCATTATAGTTTCATAAAGTTGAATAAAGTGCAATAATGAGTTTGAAAAAACTAGACCATACTTTTTTTAAATTTAAAGATCTTGACAACATATCCTTATTATCTGCCAAGTTGCAGACATGACAGAAACAATTAAAGAAGAGGCACTATATTAATTTGTCTATTTAGCACATATATTAATACTACTATAAACACATATTTTATTTGAAAAGATACATGTCTATTGTATAACTAATATCATCAACACAAGCGATTGTGCTTGATCCCCGACGATCGCCTCAAGTTAAACTGCATTGTTTCATTTACCTGCTTCTGTCATTGGCATTGCCCACAACGCTTAACGTTAAAAACTTTAAAACAGCAAACAGGTAAAACAATAAAAAAGCATGACTTACATCACATCCAGCTAGCCAACTCCCAAGCTCCTTATTTTGTCTTCGTTTGAACGCCCTGAGAAAGGATTTTTGTAAAGATAAAACCGATTTTAAATTAATCTTGAAAGAGAAATTGCACTTCTTTACCTTGAAAGTCGAGAACGGTCCAATCACGCAAGGCCAAAATATTTAAAATCAATTTTGATTCGCTTAAATCAAAAGTGGGAGGGTCTGACACTAACAAACTAATTTGAGCATGCGTTTAGAAAAATACTGTACAGATATTTTTGATAATATTTTTTTTTCTCCAAGAACATTTTACCAATTCCAAACCACATTAATCTTAATAACTAATATTCATTTTGCATTGAATCAGTTATAAGTGATATGTAATTGTTCATGAAGTCTAGAAATGAAAAACGTCTTATATTCAGGTGTACATAATTATTAACATCCAATCATTAGCATAATCATAATTGACGTTTTCTTTTATAGATAAAATAAGCCAGAGAGAGAGAGAGAGAGAGAGAGAAAGAGAGAAAGAGAGAGAGAGAGGTAAAGAACCCTAAAAAAAACCCCGACCCCCACCTAATAAGAATCACAAGATCACAGTAAGATTTTAGAAGTTCATTTTTAGTCCATCTCCCGCTATATCCCAAAGTCCGTTTTGCAGAGGAGGACTAAAGATTTACTTCCAAAACCTACTGCCATATTCTGGAAGATGAATTCTTCAAACAGAGGTAACACGATGATGTGGTTCTGGTGCTAATACACTTCAGCTTATGATTCTTATTAAGAGGGGGTCATTTTTTAGGATTCTTTGCCTAACCAAAGTCTCTGAGATCCTGACACCTTACACTTCTGATCCAAGATGTCCATGTCTTTCTTTCTTCGGTTGAATAGAAATGAAGGTTTTTGATGAAAACATTCCTGGATTTTCTCCATATAATGGACTTTATTGGGAAACAAACGGTTCAAGGTCCAAATGAGAGTTTCAGTGCAGCTTCAAAGGTATTTAAACGACACCAGACGATGAATAAGGGTCTTATCTAGCGAAAAGATCGCTCACTTAAAAAATAAATTAAAACATTTAAGTTTTATAAGCACAAATGCTCGCCTTGCTCTGTTGATGATGAGCGTTCATGACTCTCCTGTTCAAACTCGTTCATCAAAATGAACAAAACTTTTTACGAGTCACGACTCGAAGGGTCCTAGATAAGACCCTTATTCATCGCCTGGTGTCGTTTAAACCCTTTTGAAGCTGCACTGAAACTCTCATTTGGACCTTGAACCGTTTGGTTCCCAAATAAGTCCATTATATGGAGAAAATCCTGGAATGTTTTCATCAAAAAACTTAATTTCTTTTTAAGGGAGGCTTTTTAATCCTGGGAGAGGACCAGGGCGGTGCCAAAGGGACAGACCAGGCAGGCTCCGACTGCAGCAATAATGGGCACCTCAGGATAGGTGGCAGATGAAGCGGACTCGTTCTTCCTCCTCCTTCTCCCTGAAGGGGTCATATGAGGACTGGGGACCTGACAGTTTGTGAGGTGAATAAGAGGTGGGCCAGGAGGCGGAAGGCCACTCTCTTACCCACAGTGGTATACATACCCCCAAAACTGTCAGAAAGACAGTATCCCCAACATTACCATGCCCCAGGCGCTTATTTTAAGGGAAAGCACTGCAAAATGATTCACAGTTTGCTCAGTATTGGCTGAATTTGTGAAGAGTTTTGAAATTGTGGCTCCAGTATTGACCGATGCTTGTCAATAATTGAAAAAAAAAACTAACCAGATAGCGAAACGATCTGTCATTTAAAAAATAAATAAAAAAGTTTAAGTTTTATAAGCACAAATGCTCGCCTTGCTCAGTTGATGATGAGCGTTCGTGACTCTCCTGTTCAAACTCGTTCATCAAAATGAACGAGGTACAAAATGATCAAAACACTCCAATAACAAGTGTAACAACAATGTATAAACATAATAACATAATGTAACAAGTTAATTTAAACCTTGTGTTGCATTTGATTTTTTACGCAGTTGAGTGCTTTAAGGGCCAAAAATGGACATACTAAACATTGCCTAAAATATTATTATTATTTTCCACTTTTACCAAGTTAAATCTTTTAACCAGCATCAGTTCTCATCATAACTACCAAATATTTATTAAATTTCAGGATTTTAACCCTTTAATTATAAGTTTTGGTGGCGTCGGGCGATACCATCAATTTGTATAAGAGGAAAAAACACAAAAATTTTATTATTTTCAATACACTAAATGCAAAGAGAAAACTTTAGATTTGGATTATCACAGTCTTGAATATGTCAAAGATTAGCAGCAACATTGTTTCTGGTGCATTTAAAGATTTTGTGTTATTTCAGATTTTTTTTTTTTTTTTAAATCCAAGACCAAAAATTGCCACATATTAAACATTGCCTAAAATATTATATATTATTATTTTCCACTTTTACCAAGTTAAATCTTTTAATTAGCATCAGTCCTCATCATAAATACCAAATATTTATTCAATTTCAGTATTTTAACCCTTTAATTACATTTTTATATGAGACTGTTGGGCGATACCATCAATTTGTACGAGAGGAAAAAAACACAAAAATGTAATTATTTTCAATACACTAACTGCAAAGAGAAAACTTTAGATTTGGATTATCAGAGTCTTGAATATGTCAAAGATTAGCAGCAACGTTATTTATGGTGCATTTAAAGATTTCGTGTTATGTCAGATTTTTAAAGACCAAACATTGCCACATATTAAACACTGCCTAAAATATTATATATTATTATTATTTTCCACTTTTACCAAGTTAAATCTTTTAAAAAACACTCTCAGGTCAGTTTTGATAAATAAATACACATGCTTCAGTTTAATCTGTTCCTTTTTGTGATTGTTAAGAGGATAATTTGCTGAAAAATTCTTAATTAAATCCTAATTATTTCATCATTTAATTGTTACATAATTAATTACATAATTATTTTCTACATTTACCCTCATAATTTGATATATAAAACAATTTAGTACATATTACAGTTCATAGCCTATTAGAGTGTGTTCACAATAAGATTTATTTGCATGGAGATACCATGGACATGCAGTCAGCATATCATTGTTTTAAATGACACAGGAAAAAATTGCTCTTTTTTTCAAATGTGGGTGGCTCTTAAAAGAGCCTTTGGTTTGCTTCTGTGAAGAATCGCTCATGCCTGTGGCTCCCAAGGAACTGCACCCTCAGCACTGCAGTAGTTCATGAGTGTCTCCCTACATGCATTGTTGCTCCCAGCTTGGCTGATGTTGTGCAGTTCGGAGGCTTCTCCGTCACCAATATGGGAAACCGTCCTCATATAGGCTCCATACTTGGTCTGATTTTATTCACACTTTATATAAATTACCTGCCAGAAGTATGTAAAAACGTTGATGTCCAGTTGTACAGTGTGCAGATGATGCTGTAATATTTACACATGGTAAGAACTATCTGGACATAGCATCCCAACTCACTTCGGCAATGGCTCATATTGATGATTGGCTAAGTCATGTCTAAACACCAAAAAAAAAAAAAAAAAAAAAACGGTCTGTATGGCATTCACCAAACCAAACAAAGTATGAACGCGTCACATTCTAATGTATTCTTCAGAGGACAGGAGCTTGACATTGTTAATGAATTCAAGTATTTAGGAGTTGTATATGACTCCACCTTTAAATGACTTAACCTTTAAATGTCATGTCAAAAAGGTGCCAAATAAAGTTAAATTCAATTTACGGAATTTTAAACAAGTCAGGCCATTTCTTAATACCAAAGCTGCTAAGTTGTTCTTATATGCTATGATTTTATCTCATATTGAGTATTGTTTTATGAATTGGTCCTTAACTACCATATCTACTCTTAAAAATATTGAATCAGTTTTTAAGAAAGCCATACAAATTTTTGATAAAAAACCATTGTCAGTTCACCATTGCGATATTCTAGCGAAACATGATTTTCTTGAAGTTTCATGATTTTCATGATTTTATTGAAGAGACCTGAACTTTCGACAATCTAAAAAATTTCAAGTATGTCTGTCTGCAGAGTCGGCACCAGAGCAGATCTACTGGAGGGGCATTGGGTCATCAGCAGGGGGGCACTGCCGTTTAAGAAATATTTTTAAGCAAAAAACAAAAAACGAAACACCTTTTATTATTATAATTATTATTTATAATTATTATTTGCGAATTTCCCCACCACTTTTTGCCAGGGTCGATGTTGTCCCAGCACTTCTATACATCTCGCGGCACGGATGTACCAATACAAATAAATAAAACACACCGGTTACCTAGCAGGTGGTGGTAATGGCAAAAAATGAGTTTTTAATCCAACAAGAAGAAGAATATCCTTGCATCGAGCTGATTCGCACAGGCTCGACAAACGCAATGTAGCTTTTGCTTGCGCTACACCGCTACTTGCTGCAAAAAGTAGTTAGCTACTGGAAAAGCTACACTGTTTAAAAAGCAACTGAGCTACTGCCAAGCTACTGAAAAATGTAGTTAAGTTAGTAGTTGTACT